TCTGGGAGCAGGAAAGGCAAGCGGAACCTGTATTCCAAGGACAGGGGCGAGGGTGAGGAGCCTCCAATCACCTGGGTCCAGCTCATGGGTCAACTGGCAGTTAACATCTTTTTTGATCACGTCCCCCCAGTGAATGGCTAAGAGATTTTTAAGATACAGATATTTGTTCTGAATACAAGCATCTAATTTTGCTTCCTCTCATGCTTAAACTCCAGTAAAAACTTAAGCCCACAAGGACAAGGAGATGACAGCAACAACATTTTGGAAGCTGGAAAGCATGAGAGGTAAGTACCCCAAACCCCAAAAGTATGGAGAGCTGAGAAACAACCCAGTTTAAACCACAGAATCCTTAAAATGTTCCAGAACTGCAAGAGGTGCCTCAAGAATTAGAGCAAAGGGGGAATAGGGAGGGACTGTCTGAAAATAAGGGGGAACATGGTGAAAGCTGCTTAACAAGCAGATCATTTCTCCAGGCTTATGTCTCTAGGCAACTATCTCTCTCCCATCTCGACTGAAGTCTGGAGGTTTCCTTCTCTGGAGTGGGTAAATTCTCTAATGTCCTTCCAGGAGAAAGATAAGAAAATTGGGAGAGCAGTCCAGCAGATAAGAAATCATCAATTAAGTAATTCAAGAAAAACTTCCAGGACTGAAGCACTTGAGGTTTTGGAATGAAAAGGCAAAGAATAGATCCTAAAAGCTTCTAGAGAAAAAAAAAAAAAAAAAAAAAAAAAAGTCACAAAAGATCAAGAATCAGAATATCATCAGATTTCTCAACAGCAACGCTTGAAGCTCAAAGACAATGAAGGGATGCATTTGAAATTCTAAAAGAGTATGGTTTCCACCTAAAATTATTAGTCAAGTGGGAAAGTCATTTCAAACGTCAAAATATTTACCTATCATACAGTCTTGCTCAAGCAACTCAAGCAACCGCTAGAGAATGTGTTTTACCAAAACAAGGAAGCACGCCATGAAAGACTAAGAGGGGTACAGAAAATAGGAGATGGCACTAGGAGCCGGGGCCTTTGAGAGGTAATCAGGTCATGAAGTAGGCATCCTCCTGAATAAAATTGGTGCCCTTATAGAAAGGACCCTAGAGAGTCCCATCACCTTCCTGCTGCCTTGTGAGGACACAATGAGAAGAGAGCCATCTTTGAGCTAAGAAGCGGGCTCTCATCAGACCCCAAATCTGCCAGGGACTTGCTCTTGGACTTCCCAGCCTCCAGAACTGTAAAAAATACGTGTTTGTTGTTTAAGCCACGCAGTCCTTGCTACCTCTGTTATAGCAGCCTGAGAGGACCAAGGCACCAGCTGGGGCTGATGCGGCCAATGTAAGGACCACACTCTGAGAACCACTGCCTCAATAGGTCCTGTCCTTTGGAACTTGAATATTTAGGTGGTCTTCTAAACCCGATTTGTTTTTCAAGAACTGATTGCAGCTTGGTGGGATGACACCTTAGGGTTGAATCTAAGTGGCGTTTCCACGTACTGAAATCATTTTTGAGGCTAGCTCGAGTAAACATTTCAATGCAGGTGTCAGCCTGCATTAAAAATTAAATATGAAAGTAGCAGTGGGCTCTGTTCACAGTAGGTGATACCGCGTTGCTCATTTAATTCTCACAACAACCCACGAGACAGACTCAAACTAGTGTCATCTCTAGTTTACAGAGGAAGGGGCACCAGAAGTTAAACATTTTCATACAGATAGTAATGTGTGGAGCTAGGATTTGAACTTAGTGTAGCTCCAAAGGCAGGATCTTAACCATGCTATTCAGTCTCCATCCCCAAGAAGAACAAGGCTCAGGCTGGTCAGATGCCTGGGAGCCTCATCCCTCACCACCTTTGAGCAAGAATCATCAGTTCAGACGGCGGAACACAGCCTCCTAGGGCTGTTTTCAACAACCATAGCGATGTGATTTTGGTAGATGGTAATTTAAATTAGATAACAAGACCACAGTCTGCTTCGCAGCAATGGAGAAAACAGGGTCACCATTAGGGTGACACAGTCTAAGACTCCACCACGAGAGGGTGCAGCGTGGGCCAGGATGGCTTCCAAACTCTCCATGAGCCATCCTTTCCACACTGTGAATAGAAACTCTCAGAGTCCCATCTTACATCCATCTTCCCCTCCTATAAGCGAAAGCGTTCAGCCTTTACTGGGATCTTCCAGATATAGCAAGGTGACCACTCCATTGAGTAAGCAGCCCAGCATACTTTAAGGAAAATAGTAATTACAAAAAGCTTCTTAACCTTGAGCTGGAAATTGTCTACTATGACCCTAACTGTTCCTAGGTTTTCCCTTGGGAACCTCCAGAGCAACTATGATAGCTTTTCCACAAGGTTCTCTTCAGGTATCGAAGATGAGCAACCAGTATCTCCTCCTCTTCTGCTTTCCAAAGCTTTCCTTTTTGGGGCTAAATAAACCAAAGTCCCTCAACTGTTCCTCCTATAACATAGTTTCCAGACTTTTTGCCATCTCACTCATAACCTCTTTTTAATGTTTTGTTTTTTATTTTTATTTTTGAGAGAGAGAGACAAAGCATGAGCGGGGGAGGGGCAGAGAGAAAGGGAGGCACAGGATCTGAAGCAGGCTCCAGGCTCTGAGCCATCAGCACAGAGCTCGATGCAGGGCTCGAACTCACAAACCGCGAGATCACGACCTGAGCCGAAGTCGGATGCTCAACCGACTGAGCCACCCAGGTGCCCCATCACCCATAACCTTTTTTGATGAACTTGAAGGATGTGGTGCAAAGCTAATCTGTACATTCTAGGTCGGGCATGGTCTGGCCAATGCAGCATACAGCAAAATTGTTACCTCGTATGGGTGCTTTCTGGGCATTAACGATGTCTTAGCTTTCTAGGCAGTGATATACCTCTTAGCTCATAATAAATTCATGATCAACTAAAACTCCTTGCTATGTCTGACAGGAAATATTGTTCAGCCAGGTCTCTTTCATCTTTTATCCATGCAGTTTGTTTCATGAAAAAAGAATTTTACATTCATCTCTTAAAATCCTGCCTTATTTGAGCCAGTCCATCTTGAATGCAGAGACTCAGAAGCAACGTGTCCTCGTGTACTCGAATGAGAGAAGTTTAGGAAAAACGTGACAACCTGTAAAGCCTGACTTTTTTAAATGGCTTCTCAGGGGCACCCGGGTGGCAAGTCGGTTAAGCATCTGACTCCTGGTTTTGGCTCAGGTCATGATCTCACGATTGGTGAATTTGAGCCCATATTGGGCTCTACGCTGATGGCTTGGAGCCTGCTTGGGATTCTCCCTCTCTCTCTGCCCCTCCCCTGCTCTTTCTCTCTCTCTCCCTCGCCCCCTCTCTCAAAATAAATAAATAAGCTTTAAAAAAAAAAAAAAGGCTTCTGTCTGCATGCATGGACAGCCACCAAAAAGGTGTCCACTTAGCAGCTGCCAGACAGTGGAGACCAACAGGGACAGAGGTGTCACTGCGGCTGCTGCTCCTTTGGGGGCTGCTGCTATTATTGCTGCTTTGCCTCTCCTTGCTTTTCACATCTCTCGTTTTTGAATCCCAAAGCAAGCAGAATACGTTTCAAGAAGACACTAGGATGCACAATCTTCTCATAGGATTTACAGAAATGTCTCTGACTCTCTGCAAATGTTTGACAGTTTATGTGTACGTGTCAGGGAGGGGGGCGTTTTTAAAGCTTTGAGAGTGCAATCTCTTATTTTGAAAGAAGACCCACTCCTCAGAAATAATTGGGCTTTGACTTGATACAAGATCAAATGTGTGGGAAAAGGTTTATAATTTATAGTTTGCCTTTACTACGCGATAAGAATATTTTGCAATATTATGTCATAACTGTTTTTGTTTCAAACCCCAATTTTCAAGTTCTTATTTTTTATAGTTGAAAATTCTGATTAAAATCACAAGTTATCTAACCCTGGCTCTCAGCTTTTTTTTTCTTTTTTTTAATATTCCTTTCCAGTGCAAGAAAAAAAGTACCATGAGTTGTTCTAGTATGAACGAGAACCAGACAGCCGTGGCCATAATTGTGCATTCCTTAAATCCCATCTCTATTGCCCGGGCAACCCTAGTTAGAGATTTTTTTTCTTCATCAATGGAAGATGTGTTCTTTCAGGATTGGAATTCACACAATTGGAAGATGTGTTCTTTCAGAATTGGTAGAGGAGTAAGACCTACCTTATATGTGTGGGACAATCTGAAATTAATTGGTGGCTCTCCAGTGGAATCTTTGAACCAAGGGAAATAAGCTATGTAGGATACCTTTTGATGGGAAACAGAACCCTACTGCTGTAATTTTAAGTGAAGAAACAGAGCCAAGTAAAATTTTAAAAAAGCGTCCATTCTATAATCAAAACTGAAGCCTTATTAAATGCCATCTAACAAAATTTAAAATAGGAAGTAATGGGGAACAATTAAAATGATCACGTTAAGAATTCTGAAGACAGGAAGAATCATTATGGGAAAGCAAAGGGCCCGGGCAAATGAAATAATGGAATCATAAACAGAATGATTAACATCCTTGAGCTCAGATTTATTAGATAACAACCAGCTGGTCATCCTGGCAAGGTAAGAACCTTACTATATGGTGACTATCCACAGAAACAAAAAGATAGAAAATAGGGCCATTTAAATTACATATTGAATTAATAATGGCAAAATAACAAAAACCTCTTTGGTATGGAGTTTTTAAAATCACCCATTTATTTACTAATAACATTTGTGATCACTATTATATCATCAATAGCAATAGTATAAGTAATTATTTTCAGTTGCCATGTTGCTGTGTACAATGCACTTTAGTATGTATGATCCTATTAAAACACATCCAGCGGATGATCAGTCACAGATTCAGATCATTGTGTCTCTTTAGCATATTCTAAATAGGTATCTGAAGTTCAGTCCTTGAATTTGGTGGCATGATTACTACCAACGTTAGACCCTTGCCTTTGTGAAGATGCCAGGGAATTTCCTCTTCCTCCTCTCTCTCTGTCCCTTAGGGTTTTTGCTCCTTTGGCTCCGTGCATAATGTCGCCGAGGCTGCACTGCCGCTATCGGGGCTCTGGTACCACTGCTCGTACCGCCCAAGACCATCTGTGTTGGGTTTTGCTTTCTCCCAAGTGTGTTTGCTTCGGCTCTTGCTGCGGAGGCCTCCACGGAGCTTCCCGCCAGGACAGCGACTGCCAGGGTGCTTGCTGGGGCGCCTCCCTGCAGCCTCTGCGTTGCCCTTGCGCTTTGCTGGGAGACCCAAGTCCCAGTTTGGGGCTTGCGCTTTCCAGGAGATGTTACAGAAAATGTTACCATTTTTTATAGAAACGTGAATGGGTTTTTCCTCTTGCTTCAATGTGGATTTCAGAATTTCACTGTTAGGTATTTTTGTTTGTTTGGAGACACATGCTTATTTATGTTGGTCAAGCTTGTTAATGATGTTTTCGGTTTTAAGCTATGAATAAGATGATGATGATGTTGATTAGTGAAAAGGGGTCCCAGAGCAGAGTGATTAAGAGTTCAAGCTCCGTTGGGGCGCCTGGGTGGCTTCGGCTCAGGTCATGATCTCACGGTTTGTGGGGTTGAGCTCTGCATTGGGCTCTGTGCTGACAGCTCAGAGCCTGGAGCCTGCTTCGGGTTCTGTGTCTCCCTCTCTCTCTGCCCTTCCTCTGCTCGTGGCTTTGTGCTCTCTCTCTCTGTCTCTCAAAAATGAATAAACACTGAAAACATTAAAAATTAAAAAAAAAATTCAAGCTCTATCGACATACAGAGCTGGGTTCAAATCTGCCCAATTCTAATCATTTGACTACCAGAACGTTATGTAACTCTTAGAATTTTTATTTTGTACAAAACAGGTAATAATAGTATGATTCTCACAGGATGCCATGAGGATCATGAACAAAAAGGAAATGCAGGGCGCTGGGTGGCTCAGTCGGTTGAGCGTCCGACTTCAGCTCAGGTCATGATCTCCCTATTTGTGTGAGTTCGAGTCCCACGTCAGACTCTGTGCTGGCAGCTCAGAGCCTGGAGCCTGCTTCAGAGTCTGTGTCTCCTCCTCTCTCTCTCTGCCCCTCCCCTGCTCATGCTCTGTCTCTCTCTGTCTCTCAGTAATAAAGATTAAAAAAAAAACAAAAAACAAAATGCATGTAAAAGCCTTTGGACCTGACACATATTACTACTAATTTTCATTACTGTTCTTACTGGAATATCAATTACCATATCCTACATGCAGCTCTTTGTACAAATAAGCATTACATAAGTTTTGGTTTCATAATGAAATCAGTAAATGAATATTAATATATGGTACCTCTAATATCTTATCCAGTGAAATTGTAAGATTTAAAATTTGCATTTCCCTTTCTTTAAGAACAAATGTTTTCATTATTACTTTATAAAGTTCTCCAAGGCTTCTGCCATCAAAAGCTAACTGAAAAGATTTCTGGCTTCAGCAAAAATTTTCTCTGATAGACCTTAAAACAAAGCAAGTGCAATCTTTTCTCCAGGGAGAAAAATCAAATGCAAGTAAATATTTATAAATAAGTATTTAAGGAGGAATAAAATAAAATCTGTCAATAGTCATCTATTCATCCACTTGTACATACTATTTAATGAATATGTGTAGAGTGTTACAATGTCCTAAACTGATTCTGGATTAATCCCTTTAAATGCATTGCTGGCTGAAGAGAAGGCTGCACTGGGCTTAAGGTTGGGATGAAGGTGGGGGGACTTGTGGGCCAGAAAGGAGCCCCTTCCAGGGCTCAGTATCTCTATCGTCAAGTGGGGATGTGGCTATTCCTTCCCTGCCTTCTTTGCAGGATGCCCTCATCTTCCTGATCCCTGTGCTGGAGTGTCCCAGGGCTCCCTCTTTGACCTCTTTTCTTATTAATCCATGCTCACTTTTTGAATAATTTCAATCAATCCCATGCCTTTAAATACAATCTATATGCTTATGACTCCCAGCTTTATATCTTCACTCTAATCTCTCACTTGAGCTCCAGATTTGCACTTTTAATGGCCCACTTTGTACTGCCATTTGGGCATTAAATGGGCATCTCAAACTCACCCTGTGGAAGATGAGCTCCTGATTCCCCCCTCCCCCCACACCTGTTCCTGCTCCAATGTTCCCCATCTCAGTAATCCCCTAGCCAATCACCAGACTGTTCAGGCAAAGCCCCTTCTCTCTCTCACATACCATGTCTAACCCATCAACTTCAAGCTCTCCCCCTAAACATTTCTCACCTCCTCCATCATACCTTAGTCCAAATAAGCATCAACTCTTTCCAAACGTGCTGCAATAGCCCCTATTTGAACACTTTTGTTCTTGTCCCCTCGAAAGCAGCCAGAATTATCTTTCAAAATTGTAAGTCGTATTCATTGTATTATTATCCAACACATTCCAAGTTAAACCCAAAGTCTTTACCAGGACCTCTAATGCTCTAGACTGCTGGGTTTTGCTTGTCATTGGCCTTCAGTCTTTCTTGCTGAGTGGCTTCTTCCCACTCTTTGACATCCTACCTTGTTCTTCCCTCAGGGCCTTTGCAGTCGCCGGTCCCTCTGCTTAGAACACTCTTCCTCAAGCTTCTCGAGGCTTTTCCCACCATTTGTTTCAGGTCTGTGCTCATCTGTTACCTCCGCATAGTTCTCCTGATCAGCCTCTCTTTAATAGTCTTTCTCACATGAAATCACCCTGCTTGGTCTCATTTTTCTTCAAGCATTCATCAACACCAACATTACATTTATTTGGTGAGTGGCTTAACTTAACCATCAGAAGAGATTCTTCTTATTCATGTCTGAAGTCTTGTCACTTGGAATAGTGTCTGATACATAAAAGACATTCAATAAATGTTTCTGAAATGGGTAACTGAATGTCTCCACTTCCTTCCCACCCAGGGAACACAGTACCGTGGGCAGACTGAAGTTCGGTTCCTTGACTTTTTGATACCATTTACTGAGCACTTATGTGCTAGGCATAATACTGATGTATTTTCCCCCCGTATATTCATTATCATGTTTAATCCTTAAACTGTACAAAGTAGGTATTCTTATTGACATTATTATTTCTATCTCCTATTTTACAGATGAGGAAACAACTCAGCAAGGTTCAATAACTTGGCCAACACCGCTAGGAAGAGATAGATCTGTGTTGGGAAAGGCAGCAGTTTGTTGACCCTTGCACAGCTGCTGAAGAGTACCATGGGCCCGGAGCATTCCCTCGCATGGAGATAAGGAGCCATCACAGCCTGTGTGGGACTTACCCCTTTGTTGGGGATATCTTTCCTTGTTTTGGGTTTGGAGTATACTCAGGGGCCCTCTCCCTATTTTTTCAAGCTCCTTATCTTACGTGTATGTGCACGGGCAGGAAGATAGGGGTAAGCTATCTCTAAGACAGCTCTAATAAAACCTTTCAAGCTGTTTAGCCAAAGCTCCAGATAATTCCATTATCTCATCTAAGATTTTCCCATTCTTAAGTGTAATTTGTTTACTGTTACAAAGTAAGTCACAGGACCTACAGAGAATTAACTCAGATATCTGGTACATGTGAGTGAACAAGCTTTACTCCCCGGCCCCTGGCCCCCCTCCCCCACCCCGCCCCCACAAACACATGGGTGTACAATGTACTTTGTATATTAATTCTGTCTCCAGGAATTTAGAAGAATTGGGCTTAGGAAAGAAAACTTCTGTTGTTGCCGATAGCATTCAAAATTATATCCTAGATGAAACTTTTAACCAAGTAGAGTTAACTTCTAGAGAAAAGAAGCTTGATGGTGCTGTAATCATTGATGATCTTGCTGTTTTTTTCAAGTCACACTTACCTCCCAAGATACTTATAACATTGTCGACTCCTGCCCAATAAATATTCTGATGCTGGTGAAGAGGTTCTTTATATTTTTGCCCTTGGAAAGTCATTCACATGGATATTTTGTTTCAGAATATCCCATTTTTCTTCCTGAAATATGTGTCATTATATGAGGCTTAGTATTTCATTTCTCAAACCTCTACTTGTCTACAACATTGTTAGAAATAAGTCTCTCACTGTTGTGAAACTTGGCAAGAGATTGAGAACAGAAGTTTATTTATTTATTTATTTGTTTATTTATTTATTTATTTATATTAAGTTTATTTACTTATTTTGAGAGAGAGAGAGAGAGCAAAGGAGGGGCGGAGAGAAAGGGAGAGAGAGGATTCCAAGCAGGCTCCACACTGCCAACACAGAGCCCAAGGTGGCACTCAAATTCAGGAACCTTGAGATCATGACCTGAGCCAAAAGCAAGAGTCAGATGCTTAACTGACTGAGCCACCCAACACCCCAGAAGTTTTTCATATTTAATTGCTAAAGTGAAAACGGTTGATTATCTGAAGAACATGCTTAATCCTGCTTGGCCTTTTTCTGCATCCGCAGAGTCTCCAAGACAGCTTCAGACAACCATGGGATGTTAGAACAGAAGAGACACTGGAAACTACAAACTTAATCCCTCCTTTTAGAGATGATGTGACTTGCTTCCATTGGCCTGGTTTGTCTCCGGGGAATAGAGATGCATTAAACTATTCACATGGGCAAGAAAAAATTAGGAAAAGAAACTGGCTTCCCAAATCTACTGCAAATACAGAGTAACTGGTTTTTGTTAGCCTCCTCTACCGCACCCCACCCTCCATTAGCAGAAACATGAGAAAGTTCAGAGAATCTCATTGTTAATGTCTGTGTTTGGAGTCCAGCTCTTACATAATATACAACTGAAAGGATAGAATTTTAGGTAATTATTGGGTCTCAGGCTAGCTTAAAACCCATCCAATTGTCTGTTTGCAACGGTGAGTAATGAACACAAGAATGACTATGATGATTCCCAACATGGTGTAGACCAGATGAAACTGCAGAAGATTCCAGGACTTGATTAAATGTTTAAGATATTACCTCATGGGGATGCCTGGGTGGCTCAGTCAGTTAAGCATCTGACTTCGGCTCAGGTCATGACCTCACGTCCGTGGGTTCAAGCCCCACATCAGGCTCTGTGCTGAAGGACAGCTCTGAGCCTGGAGCCTGCTTTGGATTCTGTGTCTCCCTCTCTCTGCCCCTCCCCCACTCACGCTCTGTCTTTCTCTCTCTCTTTCAGAAAGAAATAAAACATAAAAAATAAAAATAAAAAAATAAAAGATAGTACCTCATAATAAAAGCAAGTTCCCTTAGGGGCGCCTGGGTGGCGCAGTCGGTTAAGCGTCCGACTTCAGCCAGGTCACGATCTCGCGGTCTGTGAGTTCGAGCCCCGTGTCGGGCTCTGGGCTGATGGCTCAGAGCCTGGAGCCTGTTTCCGATTCTGTGTGTCCCTCTCTCTCTGCCCCTCGCCCGTTCATGCTCTGTCTCTCTCTGTCCCAAAAATAAATAAACGTTGGGAAAAAAAATTAAAAAAAAAAAAAAAAGCAAGTTCCCTTAAAATAGCACTTCAATTTCCAGTAGTCACTCCGGATGGCCAGGTGACGTTATTTATGCCATCCTAATCAATTATGCAATTGCTACCGTTATGTATTCTGGGCAAATGAACTCATCACTCTTTGTTTCCACCCCTACCAACTTCAAAGAAATATTATGAAGATAAATCAGACAAAATGCATGAAGACAGGAGCATTACACTGGGGTTCTTTGGAAGTACACAAATAAATTGTGTGTAAGATTTATGTATTTATGTACACAGAGCATTCTTTTGGTTAGAAGCTTTTATCAAATTCTTAAAAGGAATCTGTAACCTCAAAGTGGTTAAGAAGCACTTACAGTCAATCAAAAAAAAAAAAAAAAAAAGGATTTCATTAGAGCTGTTTTAGAGACAACCTCTCCCTACCACCTTTCCCTGGCAAAGACACAGACTCAGGATAAGGGTCTTAAATAGAAAGAGAGTTCCTGAACTTACAAGTGTTCTTATGATGCCCAACAAGTCACTACCCTCCATGATAATGCAGTTGTCCATGGAAGCACCAGAAGACCACAAACTGAATCAGACCCTACTTTGGCTACTCCAATCAATGGAACACCCTTTCTGTCAGCACAAATAAAGCCTACTACAGCCCCAGAAAATACATCTTCTTTAGCTATCACTGTATCTTCCCCTCCACCCTTTCCTCATAATCATTTCTGACATGCACACTTACCTTCTAAATGTCTTTTTTTAATGTTTATTTATTTATTTTGAGGGGGGAGGGGCAGAGAGAGAGGGAGAGCATGAGTCTTGAGCAGGCTTTGCGCTATCAGCATGGAGCCCGACACAGGGCTCAAACCCACGGACCGTGAGATCATGACCTGAGCGGAAACCAAGCTCAAACCCGCGGACCGTGAGATCATGACCTGAGCGGAAACCAAGAGTTGGATGCTTAATGGACTGAGCGACCGAGGTGCTCCTTACCCTCTTAATTTCTAATTTAAGTTGGTAGTAAACAACAGATTCAATGCCCTAACAGGTTATTACTTAACAAGTATACATCGAGTGTCTTCCAGTTTCCAGGCACTATGCTAGCCAGGGATGCAACAGAAAACGAGGTCAGTGCTTCCATTATGAAGCTTGACCCAACAAGGGCCAGAAAGGAAACCAGTACAATGCAGTCTGGGGGCGTAGCACAGGAGGAGAAGCAGAGCAGACGGGGCACACACAAGAGGAATGCCTAATTCAGTCTTGATGGTCACTAAAGGAAAAGAATATTAATAAACATCCCCTAAATAGCATTCACTGTACAACCGGCACTCTTCCAAGTGCTTTATATCACTGTTTAATTCCCTTAAGGATTCCAACAACATTAACTGAAGAGCCAGACTGCAGAGTAAGGAGTAGGGTCACCGGCACATTCCAGGCAGAATTAAGAGCAGGTATAAAGCCCCAGACGTAGGAGAGCATGGAAGAGAAACAGACACAAAGGTGCATCAGAGGCACCTTGTGACAGCTCACCAGATCTAACTGCTAAGTATTCAGGCATTTTGCAAACCAGCAACAGTTGGTAGCTCAAAATCAGCCACAGCAGGAGTATTTACATTATGGAAGTTGGCAAATATTACAAATCAATCAACCGATATTTGGGTTTGGTTTTTGGTTTTGAGCGGCATTTTATCAGCACACCACTATGCCGAGGTGTAGGAAATAAGGACTTGACAATGACGGTCATTAACCACTCTGACGTGAGAGTTGTGGAGCAGGCTTCTCTTAAGGTTCACTGCTTGTCTTTTGGACAGCAACCAAATGAGGTTTGTCAAAGACTGGAGTATAACTAGAAAACATCTCATACCTTGAGTCCATTTTATGCTGGGGACATGCGCAACCCGAAATGCTTTGTTTATCTTGATGTCGATCCCATAGACAAAGCTATTGTGTGTTTTTCTATGCAGCTCAAGGTCAGTTTGTTTGTTGACAGATATCATTACGATGGTGTGCCAACATCAGCTCAAAGAGAGGAAAAGGATGATATGTTAGAATATCGTAGGGGCACCTGGGTGGCTCAGTCGGTTAAGCATCCGACTTTGGCTCAGGTCATGATCTCACAGTCCGTGGGTTTGAGCCCTGCGTCAGGCTCTGTTATGACAGCTCAGAGCCTGGAGCCTGCTTCGGATTCTGTGTCTCCCTCTCTCTCTGCCCCTCCCCTGTTCACGCTCTCTGTCTCAAAAATAGATAAAAACATTTAAAAAAAAGAATATCATATAAAAATAATTTAACATTTTACTGGCACTTTGACCCAACTTAAACCACACACCTAGATCCCTACATCGTATCTGAAATATACATGTCGCCCTCCATCTCAGTAGTGATGCTAACCTATCCCCTTCAAATTATAAAACCACTCTTGTTGTCACAGTGCATAGAGAGGAGCAATTTTTACATCCAGACTGGATGCAAAGTCTATGAGTAAAGCACAACGTCTTTAAAACTCTTAGGAAATCTTTTAGGACTAGAAGGAAATTCTTCCCCAGTTCTCCTCACCTTGAAGTAAGTAACATTAAAGTGTATATGTACAGTCCATGCAATCAGCCCTGAGAGGCAGAAAGTTTCACTGAAGGACAGTGATGTGTGCTGTCTGAAGATGGCAACACTCAGTAGGAAGGAAATACTATGTTTCTAATGTATATCCATTCACCCTATGCTGAAACCTAGATTATGACAAAAAGTGCCAGCTTTAATGCAGGGGAAGCCCTAAACAAGGTGGAAATTACATGGTCCATTTTGAGCATTCAGAATGGCTGTGTCCAGAGCAAGAAGAGGCCTTTATGGAGTAAGGAAATCACTGTCACTTTTCTACGGGTCCCGTTACTGTCTGCAGACAGATCATGCACTAGGTTATTTGTGTGTTCATATATTTATTCAGATTTTTTTTTCTGTGCAATGCTCCCCTTTGTTCACGTTGCATAGATTTTAAAAACAACTCACCGAGGGGCACCTGGGTGGCTCAGTCGGTTAAGCGTCCAACGTCAGCTCAGGTCACGATCTCGCGGTCCGTGAGTTCGAGCCCCGCGTCGGGCTCTGGGCTGGTGGCTCAGAGCCTGGAGCCTGCTTCCGATTCTGTGTCTCCCTCTCTCTCTGCCCCTCCCCCGTTCATGCTCTATCTCTCTCTGTCTCAAAAATAAATAAAAACGTTAAAAAAATAAAATAAAATAAAAACAACTCACCGAAAGACAACTTTTGTCTTGGCCACCATGTTTCCCATGCAGAGCTTACTTTTTGATAGGATCATTCTGGCCAATCTTCCTGATGTCATCACAGCCTCTGCCTGAACCGCAGCAAGAAGGTCCAGAGCAGCAGATGAAAACCCAGACAGGGCAGAATGGTGGACGATCCTTTTCTGTCAGCAAAACAGAGCCGGAGACCATGAGGAGACATACCAGCCCGGTGCACCTGGCTGTCCTCCCCCTCCAATTACGCTGCTGTTGGCCACCAGCATGTTCTTCACCGCCTGGTTCTTCACTTATGAGATCACCTCCCTCAAGTACACGCAGGGTATATCTATGGCTTATGTGAAAGAAAAGAGCATAAAATAAAATTTCTTGATCCTATTATGTGCTAAACAACTCACCTATCTTCTTCCATTTAATCCTCACTACAAACTACAAAGAAGGTGGATTTAGGCTCATTTCACAAATGAGGGCAAGTCCCTTGCATAGGATTACGCATCTTGCATTTGACTCATCCATTCAACAAACACTCATTGAGTGCTCCCTATGAGCTGGGTGTTCTGTAAACAAGAGGTGTTGGTTGGGTTAAACGATAGCAAATAAACACGTCCAACTTCAGGTTGGTTTCAGTTTCCCTGCAGTGAAAGTCACAAGAATGCAGACTCAGTCCTAAATGTTTCAATTTGGAAATGAAGTTCAGAGAAATCCGTGCTTCTTCAATGTAATGAACATGTGTTAAGTGCCTATAGGAAACAGCGTCCTATGTTAGAACCGTCAGACCCCTTATCCTTGGCCTCACTGGCTATCATTGTTGCTTGAAGAATGCAGCATTCCCTTCTAATAAAAGCATAGAAGCCTAAAATACAAAATCAATAATAATAAAAAAAAAAAGTAGAGCTCTTCAGTTTAGAAGTGGGAATGCTTGAATTTTTGCTCATTCTGGGCAGAATATCTCAGATCGTGCAGATCACAGTTTGAAAACCACTGAGCAGGGCGCCTGGGTGGCTCAGTCGGTTAAGTGTCTGACTTCGGCTCAGGTCAGAATCTCACAGCTTGTGAGCTCAAGTCCCGCACTGGACTCTGTGCTGACAGCTCAGAGCCTGGAGCCTTCTTTGGATTCTCTGTCTCCCTCTCTCTGTCTCTCCTCTGCTTGCGGTCTGTCTCTCTCAAAAATAAACAAAAAAATTTAAAAAAAATTGTTTTTTAAAGAAAAGAAAGCCACTGAGCAACTCAGTATGGCATTGATTCAGGAGAGTAGGCATTGGGTTCCATGACCCCTGTGGGGCTGATCTGGGGAAGGTGCTGAGGAGCTCTGGTCCTGGGACCCACCTGAGTGTAGACTGGGAGGTCACTCATGTACACAACCCCACCACTCTCCATAACCTTCCTTTGGCAAGGGCTGACATCTTCGGTCTTGCCTATAATCACCCCGTTGTGCTCGTGGTCTTCCTGGATGGCATACCTGGGGGGCAAACTCCAGAAATGCCGACTGCAAACAAGGAAGAAAACCATCAGGTCACCTTCACCTGGCAGCTGGGAGGAACGTAAACAGGCCCAGGGCAGCGGTGTTCACACCCACCTCTGCGGTTCATAGATTGATTGTTTTCTTGATAGTCACATGCAGCCTGTAGAATCCTCAGCACACGATAGTGTCTGCTATATTTTCAGGGGCAGAAATGTTTTCCAACCTTCCCACTGGTATACTCAAATTTAACAGGGACAGAGAGATGGAATGCCATCGTAGCGGTCACCTTTGCGGATGGTGGGAAGGGGTCTTTGGGCCAGCAGCCATTGTATTCATCAATTTGGAAACAAGATTGAATCTGAAAACAAGATTGTGGGAAACGGCTAAGATATTTTTCGATCGAAACAAATGAAAGAAAACATAAAGAACATCCCTTGTATTTATCGAGTGTTTATTTAGTTCATTCTAGCAGTGTGTTTATTCATTCATCCTATAAATATTTAGCAAGTGTCTGACTGAGCCTATAGTGTGCTCAGCCTTGGGATAACTTTCTAAGAACTGGCAATACTTCCATGATGTCATACCTGAAGACGTTCCAGGGCATTTAAGACTTTCTCTTATTACAGTTTCTCTCCAATTCCCTACCGCGCCCTTTCTGAAAAACTGCAAGTCTTTAGGAAAACCATCAGGCCCTGGGCAGCCGTCCAATTGCCCTTGGGACAATCCCCAGTGTGGCCCGAAAGGTCACCAACATCATTTTGAGCCAACCTCCTAATTTGGACTAGAAGAAGCAGATCTCGCGTGGATGTGGGGCAGAGTTTTACCATCTGCAGGCAGAAATCTGTCTGGGTTCTTCCCAGATGGGAAAGAGAGAACTGAGAAAGCCAATTTCAAATTAAGTTGGCAGGAGCCAGAGTGAAGGAGACAATATTTTGGCAGTTTTTTCAGACTTCTAAATTCTTTCCAGTTGAGAGAACAAATAGACCAGAAAGATGAACACGTGGATCTCACTGGGTTGCCTCAAGTATAAAATAATGTGACCAATCTTCTCTTCTGATTTGGAGAGGGTCCCCAGAGTTGGAGGGGGCAAACACCTCCCTGTCCTCTCCCCACCCCTCCTCCACCCCTGCCCCACTGGGCTCCCGGGGCTCCCTCCAGGAACGCAGCAGCCCAGGTTCTGCTCTCCCAGCACGGATTCCCAGGGAGTCTCTTACCCTTCCTCCCACCTCCCTGGGAGCTCTCTGGGGAGGAAGAGCTTGGGGGGTTAAGATCACAGGCTTTTTGCTCTGTGTCCTCTCAACAAATACAGTGAGTAAATCCAGACTTGTGTTTAAAAGAGGAAGTTGCTGGCTTAAAAAAGAGAGAAGCCCTTCACCCAAGAAGATGCTTACAGGGAAGAGTTGCTGGTGCTCTCCTGGACTAGAAAAATAGAGTCTTCACTTTTGCTCCCAGGGAAGAACACGAACGGCCGAGAAAGTTGTGGATTTTTGCAAAGCCACAGAAGGAAGAAAGCGGAGGAGAAACATGTAAAGGGGAACACTTACTAATAAGAGAAGGGCCTCTCTGCCTTCTGTAACTTCCCAGCTCTTCAGATTCATTGACATTATGAGTCAGAAATTTATTTGGGGGATATTTCAGCTCCCTCACTGTTGGAAGGTACCTGTGAAAAGACTACATGGCCTCAAGGATTTACAGCAAAAAGAGAAATGGTCCAGTAGAAGGGGGAAAGTTCAAAACAGAAAAGTGAGAGCTCTGGCTATAAGCAACACTCAGAAAACAGCCTCTTCAGGAAGGAAGCCAGTCCCTGCTACACATTCAAGAGGGTGAACTGGATTCAGTGAACATTTCGTGTTTTGTTTACAACATTTGAATGAAGAACCTTTTGTTTTGTTTTGCCTTTTTTTTTAAACTTTTTTTATGTTTATTCATTTTTGAAAGACAGAGACAGAGCACAAGCAGGGGTGGGATGGAGACAGAGGGGGACACAGAATCCGAATCAGGCTCCAGGCTCTTAGCTGTCGGCACAGAGCCCAACACAGAGCTCGGACCCACGAACCGTGAGATCACGACCTGAGCCGAAGTCCGACGCTCAACCGACTGAGCCACCCAGGCGCCCCTTGTGTTGTTTTGTCTTAAGGTTATTTATTTCAAGAGTGAGCAAGTTGGGGAGGGGCAGAGAGAAAGGGAGAGGCCCAGGCACTGTCAGTGCAGAACTGTTAATGAAGAACCTTTAAGAGCAGTCTTTGCTTCTGCTCCCAGGCCCCCGAAGGCCCCATTTTTATCTCAAGCCTTTAAAAAATTTAGAATGTAGAAACAAATGGTGGACAATTCATGACCACCTCTTTACCGTCGTTAGTGCAAAGGTGAAGAAATCGTGTTTCTAAGGAACTGGGCTGTACACAGACCAGGAGAGTATAAGACATAATGTCTCTGTGGAATGACACTTAACATAAGTCCCCATTTTCTTCTGATTTCATCAGTTCAGACAAATCGGATTGTGTCGGCTGACTCAGGGACAATAAAATATTCCCGCCACGTACAGATTTCCTGTAAGCTGTTTTGCAGTAGAAAGGTTGACAAAGGCCTGGAGGACTAAAAACTCAATTCTGTTCAGGCATTTTCCACATTTATTAACTATTTTTGTCAGAGCTTTTTATGTGGGTTCTCTTTAAGACATGTTGGTGGCAGGGAGGTTGGGGTGGGCACCTGGGTGACTCGGTTGGTTAAGCATCCGACTCTTGGTTTCGGCTCCGGTCATGATCTCACAGTTTCGGGAGTTCGAGCCCTGCCTCGGGTTCTGCAATGGCGACTCAGAGTCGGCTTGGGATTCTCTCTATCCCTGCTCTCTCTGCCCCTCCGCCACTCACACTCTCTCTGTCTCCCTCAAATAAAGTAAAACTTAAAAAAAAAAAAAAAGACATGTTGGTGGGAGTAGTGGTGATGCTATTAAAGCAAACAAGAAAAACAAGTTGCCTTTCATTGTTTAGGCAGGTGCAAATGAGACTGAGGCAGTCAAGCCCTGGGGTGAAGAAATCAGGCAGGTGGTGACCATTCATTGAGAAGTTTTTGGTTAAAGAAACAAAGTTATCAACGTTTCAATACAGGAACTCTAAAAAAAGACAAATGAATAAGCAAACAAAAAGCAGAAACGGACCCACAACTACAAAACAAACTGATGGTTGGCAGAAAAGAGGAGGTTGGATGGGGGTGCAAAATGGGTGAAGCAGATTGGTGGGGGGGGCAGGTACAAGCTTCCAGCTACGGAATGAATACGTCACCGGGATGAAAGGTACAACAGGGAATATAGTCAACGGTACTTTAACAGCGCTGTATGGGGACAGATGGTGAGCACAGCATGTTCTATAAACGTGTAGAATCACTATGTTGCTCACCTGAAGCTAATGGAACATTGTATATCAACTATACCGAAATACAGAATAAATAAATTTTGTAGCAAGAATAGCGGCCAAAAGGAGCCAATGGGTAGTGTGATTCTAGAAGCTGGGGTGCGTTTGAAGGTCTGGCTTCAACCACGCCCAACAGGAAGAGGTCGAGGAACAACTGAAGATGTTTGGAAGACGGTCTGTCCGGAGGAGACAGCATGGTGGCCCTGGAAAAGAGGGACGCACCTCTTCCTTTGTGAGCAGGAGAAAAGAGCAGCAAGGGGAGAGAGGCCGGGGCTGGGAGGCTGGGGCTTCTGCACAGGCTGGGCTCCATGCCCAGCACGGCCCAGATCACCCACAACTCACCGGGACTCAACTGCTCACGTGCCTTCCCTTCTGAAGTCGTGTGCCCTTAAAACCTACTTGCGCCACACCGACCTGATTGGATGCTCTTCCCCTTAAAATGCGGTCATAGTTCTGGCTGTCAGTGTTGTTATAGAATCTAAATTCCTGGGATGCCTGGGTGGCTCCGTTGGTTAACTGTCCGACCCTTGATTTCAGCTCAGGTTGTGATCTCATGGTTCAGGAGATGGAGTCCTGCATCAGGCTCTGTGCTGACAGTGCGGAACCTGCTTGGGATTCTCTCTCTTCCTCTCTCTACCCCCTCCCCTGCTCATTCTGTCTCTTTCTCTCAAAATAAATGAGTTAAAAAAAAAAAAAAACTAAACTGCTGAGCTGGTGCCTTAAGTCCTCTCTTCTTCCCACCATCCCTGTGCCTCGCCCCCACCCAGAGGGGGTCCCTGGCCAGCAACAGGAGTGAAACACAGAAATTTATTAAAAATGCAAAATCTCAGTGGTGCCTAGGTGGCTCAGTGGGTTAAGCGTCCTACTTTGGCTCAGGTCATGATCTCACGGTTCGTGAGTTCGAGCCCTGCATCGGGCTCTGTGCTGACAGCTCAGAGCCTGGAACCTGCTTGGGATTCTGTGTCTCCCTCTCTCTCTGCCCCTCCCCATCCCCGGCTCAGTCTCTCTCTCTCTTTCCCTCTCTCTCTCAAAAATAAATAAACATTAAAAAAAAAAATGCACTTACCCCGGACTTGATAAATCTGAAACACTGGTAAAGAGGCCGAGCAATCTACCAAGGCTTCCAGGGGATTGTGATGCACGCTCCAGTGTGAGAACCGTGGGCCTAGTCTTCTGAACCACTGGCAGCTCCCCAGGCCACACTGTGCTGGCCATCTGCACACCTTTACACACTCCCCTCACTGCCCAGCAGGTACCTCTCCCTCCCACTCCCGTTTCGAGCATCAACTGGAGGACCACCTCCTCTGTGAATCATTTCCTGACCTGCCCTCTCCCCTTCCCTGTGCCTCCACGAAAACTGGGGAGAACCTCCATCATTCAGCTTTGCTGCAGCTCAGGGTTTATGTGTCTGCCTCCCCCAAAGCCAGTGTGCTCCCCAGCACGGGCGACTGTTTGTCCTGGCACAGTCCTGGGGCTCAGAAGATGTTTGTTGTGTCAAAACGTTATTGAAAAGCAAAGTACAGACAGAGGAGAGAAGAGGGAACCAGCATGAAAGAGAGAGACAACCACGAAACAATAATGGCTGGTGTTTGCTGAGTTCTATCTGTGAGCCAGGTA